TCACCACCTTGAACGTTCCCTGAACATAAACCCGCTCACTAGGTTTATCAGCCAGGAACCAGCTGTGATCGTCACATAAATAAAGTATAAGTAATAAATAAAATTTATATAGCGTTAATATAGCGCTTTTTTTATATATATATTAAGGGATATTTATAAAAGTATAATTTTTATAATTATTTTAATAGTAAAACTAATAGTATTTATTAGTATTTATAATATAATTATAGTTAATATAATATAAAGCTGCTATATTAGTATAATAGGTATATTAATTAGATTTACTGCTTTAATTGTAATAGTAGTGTTTTAAGTTTTTTTTTAAAGTATAAATATAGTATATATATTATTTCTTAGTTAAGTATTTTTTACTTTTTTAAGCTTTACTCTTTTTTTTCTTTTTTTATATAATATTAGTATAGCGTAAGCGTAGGATAAATATAAGAGGTATTTATAATAAGGCTTAAGAAATTAAAGTTTTTTTAATTATATTTAGTAATAGTAAGGGATTAATATTATATTAATTATATATTACTTATATAGTACTTAAGTAGTATAGCTGTATTTATATTTATAATAATAAAGGTAGTAAGGGTAGAAATAAATATTTATTTAAGTTATTAATACTTATATAATATAGTATATATATAGCGTAGATATAAAAATAACTTATTATAATATAGTATAGTATAGTATAGTATAGTATAATATAATATAGTATTAATTTATTAATAAATATTAATATAAGCTTTATATAGTTATAATATATTATTTATAATAATATTAGTACTAGTATTAGTATTAGTATTAGTACTAATATAAGTATAAGTATAAGTATAAATATTATATAGTATTAATATTAATTATACTTTAAACTTTTTAAAAGTATATTTATAATAATAATTAGTTATTTATTAAATTAAAAAGAAAAGAAAAATAATTTAAAAGAGAAAATTTATTAAATACCTTTAAAAGTATATTAGTTATATTATAGCTATACTTTATTTATAACTTAGAATAATAAAAAAGTATAATAAGTGGTTTATTTAAAGATAATAAGTATAATAGTAGTATAATAATTATTAAAAATATAGCTTTTTTCTATTGCTTTTATAGCTAATATATAATTAAATTATATAATAGTTATATATTTAATTACTTATTTATAATATACTATTTATTTTATTATAGGCTTTTTTTATTTAAGCTTTTTATAAAAAAAAGCACTTATATAGTTTTTTTATAATTATAAGTATTATGCTTTTGAAATAAGAGTTTAAAAAGGGAAAATAATTTATTAGGAATTAATATTATATAAGTATATTAAGTATAGCTTTTATGTAGCTAAAATGCTTTATAAAATGTAAAAATACTATATTGGAATGAACTTTATATTAATGCTATGTGTGTATAGCGCGTGTAAAAGGTAAATAAGAAGTATTATAAAAAAAGGATTAAAAGGAAAAGGGAAAAAGGGGGAAGAAAGAAATAAGTTTAGTAGTTTTTTTATTAATAAAACTTACGATATTGCTATGTTTTTGCTGCGCTGCCGCTGCATATACCTACTTACTCCACTTGTAACCCCTCTAACCTGATACCCATCACCCTGACAGAGGAACACAGAGACTCTACGGTCACTCCGTGGGATTGTTTCCTTTGTCGTACATAATTGCCTATATCTAAACGCTAGGACCGACAATAACAAAAATGAGTCACATGAGAATGCGCGCAAATGTGTCCACTGCGATTTGCAGTTCTTTCGATGACTCCACATACGCAAACTCTTGTATCTGCTGTTCTGAAAGCCCCGTGCTTGGCATGATGATGAGGACATCTTCAAATCTGTACTATGAGAAAGATGTCCTACTGATAGATAACTTGGACACTTCATAGTTCCGACTTCACTCGCTGGGGGAGGGAGCGGGTGCGGGGAGTTCAGTCTTCATGACAAAGGTGATGGCTTCATATGCCACAGTCAAATATCCAAATAAGCTTCCATAGCATCCAACTCTGGGGTTTCCACCCTATCTTACGTTCAGCACGTGATAAAATGCTGCTGCCGTAGCCTTGCATTCTGAGTTGTGATCTACCTCTGCTGCATTTCTGTTTCCTCTGAAGGACGCAAGCTTGAGAAACCGCTCTTTCCTCCCCAAATGCGCAAGGCTCATGTGGCTCTACTGGGGTAGCTGTAAATGTTAGCAAAAACCTAAAGAGGACCATTGGCTAGGTATGGTGTAGGGAAACTTCAGAAGTATTGATGAGAAATCAGCTTCAATAGGAGATGGCAACCCTAAATTGCCTAGCCGAGTCTTTGTTGGGAGTATGGAACTTTCTACACATTACACAACAAAAGTCGACCTGCGTATATATCTTCCGTTTGAAACATTTCAATGCCTGAATATCGTCTCGTAATCAGACAAAATTGCAGAGTAAAAACACGATAGGCTATCTCACGCGACGTAACCAAAAGCCTCTGAATACTCCTAAGCGACTGAGGAGCTCTACTGCACAATGAACATATCGCTACCATCAAATTGTCTTCCCAGGAAAATGAAACGTGCCAAGAAGGCAACACGTACTACATTGTGCTATTTGACGTGATCAAGGTGGCTTGTGTGCAGCGCTTTAATGTTGATCCGTTGTCATTACGTGATTGAAAACGAGCTCCTTCTTATTGCTTTCACGGGTGTATACATCAGATCAAGACATTGCTAAGCAAGCTGTTTGATCTTGCTTCCCCTTGTTTTACTGCTCGACAGCTTGAGATGTATTCGCACTTGTTCCAAGCTTTGTATCAGGCTCGACAGCTTGAGATGTATTCGCACTTGTTCCAAGCTTTGTATCAGGCGCTGAGCTACGAAGCATTACTTCATATTGTTACATAGGTGTAGGTGTACAAGCTTACAGTAGCACTCGAAACCTCTACGTGTACTCATGTAGGGCAATCAAGTATCAGATCAAGAGCAGGCCAAGCTTTTCGATACCTCATGAATCGCGAAGCTCTACAAGAGTTGGAGAACATCCGGGCATTCAGATGTCAGACGGAATTGAGTTTAGTGATTGGGTTGCCACGGCGGGAAGCTGCTGCTGATCCCGACTTAGAAACGGAGTGCATGCGTACTCTGTCTGCAACAGCTCTTCTGAAATAGAACAAACAAGATCCGTAGTCTACAGTGTAAGCTGAGAAGGACTGCTGTTTTCGGCCGAGTGGCGTGTACCTGCGGACCATTCTGCGGCCACGTCGTACGGCAACAATCCAGCTGGATTCTCCGGCTGCTCAAAGAGCTTCAGCTGTTCCTTGTCAGGCTTGCCTGGAGGTTTCACAGTCGCCCCTGACGGCCCACGGCCGCTGGCCGCAGCGGCCTGACCTGCAGTGGCTAGAACCCGGGCTGCCAAGGAAGACCAGGGCCGAAATCCGGGGCTCCCCTCTGATATATGGGGCCGTGGGCCCTGAAACAAGCTTCACTGGCAGCTCACTGGACACCAGTGACAACACGTATTTACAGCACAGCCTCTCTTCTTGCCAAAACAGAGTTGGATGGCAATATGACATGATGGCAGTGCAGCGGCCTCATCGGGTCTCTTCAGCCAGTGGATCAGCTTGGACCCCAAGGACCCCTGCCGGCTGCATACGATGAGACGAGTTTCCGAGCTTGAAAGGGGACCGTTTTGTTGTCAACATCTGAGTATAAAGAGGTCCAGTCCCTCTTGTCGTCTGCTCGATATTGGAAGTGATCATCACATCAAGTTCTACAATCAAAGCACTGCTCATACACACCGTCATCACCGGCTACCTACCTTTCTTTGTTTGACCTTTACATCCTTTCATAGCCTTCATCATGTCTGCCCAGGATTACTACCGTGACGGAGACCGCCCTCACGAGCGCCACCACGACGGCCCACCCCACAGGGAGGAGTCAAGAGGCGGCTCAGACTACTACAACCACGACGGAGGACGTGACAGATCCCGCAGCAAGTCCCGCGAGCGCAGGGGCAGTGATGGCCACAAGGACCGCGACATCGCCGGCACCCTGATCGGCGGCGCGGCCGGTGCATTCGGTGGCCACGCTCTCGGCGCGAAGGCCGGCCACGGCGTCATCGGCACCGTGCTCGGCGGTGTTGCTGGTGCCTTTGCAGGCCACGAGGTTGAGGAGAAGGTGGACGACTGGAAGGACGAGCGCAAGGAGAAGAAGGAGGACGAGCGTCGCCACAAGGAGGACGATGAGCGCCACCGCCGGGACGACGAGGACCGCCGTCGCCGAGATGACGAGGACCGCCGTCGACGTGAAGATGATGACCGTCGCCGCCGCGAGGATGACGACCGCCGCCGTGACGACTACCACCACCACGACCAGCCTCGCGGTGGCCCTGAGACGGTGGTTGTCCAGCAGGGAGACACTCTGCGGGGCATTGCTGCGAGGTTCCCTGGCGTCTCGTTCGAGGAGATCGCGAGGCATAACAACATCGCCAACCCGGATATGATCTACCCAGGTCAGACCCTCGCCATCCCTCACCGTGGTGGATGTTAAAGGGCATAGCACAGCGTCGAGGCTGGCTCGTCTCGCTGGCGGAGGGTGTAGTGCAGACCTGAGATACTAGCTGGGCGGAAGCCTGGCTGCTCGACATTGTTCTTCGAGAATCACTTATTCTGGCACGTGGTAGAAGCGTGGCGTGAACATGGTCGAGACGAGGATAAACTCTGGTCTGCCGAATCCTATTACAAACCCGAGAAGATCAGGGAGGAATCAATTACCAATTCCCAAACATAATCATTGCTGCGTCCCATGTGATTCATAGCGTGTTGAGGCTGAAGACTAACCGTGGTAAATGCTTTGAATCTGGCGACGTCTTCATCGGCCAGCCCCGCCTTCCCGCGCAGGCTCGCAGATCGAGGTTGAGGTCGAGGCCATGATTCCTCCCCCCTCCCCCCCCCCCGCTAATGCAGCCGGACGCACCGCGGCGCTTGGTAGGTGGGCACGCCGACCCGGTAATAATCGTCCGACCCCACCAGCGTTGGCACTATGGACGGGGGGATCCAGTGGCAACCGGCGCCCATTCCACCCCCATCTCGGTCTGGTCTGGGCAAGAGAAGCGTGAGAAAAAAAAAGTAAGAAAAAAACTTCCTTGACCCAGACCGGCGGGACAGACTACCTTTAAGTCCTTCCTGGACCACACCCTCTTTCCAGCCATCCGTCCAACCAGCCAGACGGTGTCTGTCCACTCAGCTCGGCCTGAACCTGAAGAAGGTCATCCGCCGTGTCTGTCTGCCTTATCTCGACCTTCCCACTCGAGTCGCCCACATGAGCTGTCTCTTCAACTCAAGTCTACTCACTCACCATCTTTTCCTGGCACATCGGTCCATGTGCCATCTGGGACCTCACTAGATTTACAGCAGGCGACTTCAAGTCTTTGCGCACTGCTTAGGGGACGATAGAAAGACTCAACGCATATTCATCTCATATTACCACTACATACTCAGGGGTACATCCGAACCTTGAACATCAAGTGCCTCTAGGGCCACAGCAAGGGCATTTCGAGATCGGATCCAGCCTTATTTTCCGGTACCCAGTAGACTGACCCCCACAAGCCGAAGGAAAATCAGCGTTCCACGATGGCAGGTACCACTGAGACAACCTCAAACAAGGGCCTCTACGACGGCGTCGACGGCTCGCCGGTGCAGACGCACATCTACAGCGAGAGCGATGCCCGAGAGGCCACCACCTCCGAGGACCAAGCCGTCGCCGAGGGCCTCCAGCAGATCCAGGCCAGGAAGGTCCATTGGTACTCGTATTTCACCACCTGGGACTTTTGGACCATCCTCCTGCTGGGCCAGCTGCTGTGCCTGTGCAACACGGCCACCAGCACCTTCACCTCCTTCCTGGTCGAATATGGCACCTCCATCCCGGCCTTCCAGACCTTCTTCAACTATGTGCTGCTGAGCGTCGTCTACATCCCGTTCATGTTCTACCGCTACGGCTGGCGCAAGGTCGCCCGCGTCGCTGTCACGGATGGCTGGAAGTACTTCATCCTGGCCTTTCTCGACGTCGAGGGCAACTACTTCACCGTCCTGGCCTACCGGTACACCAACATCCTGTCGGCCCAGCTCATCAACTTCTGGTCCATTGTCTGTGTCGTCATCGTTTCCTTCACCCTGCTCAAGGTGCGCTACAAGCTCTTCCAGATCCTGGGCATCCTGGTCGCGTGCGGCGGCATGGGCATGCTCCTCGGCAGCGACGCCATGACGGGCTCCAACAACTTCTCCACGCCCAACATGCTCAAGGGCGACCTCTTCTGCCTCGCGGGCGCGACCTGCTACGGCCTCAGCAACGTCTTCGAGGAGTGGTGCGTGTCGCGCCGGCCCATCTACGAGGTGCTGAGCTTCATGGGCTTCCTGGGCATGTGCGTCGGCGGCGCGACGGCGGGCATCTTCGACAGGGACACCTTCCAGCAGGCGACGTGGAACGGGCCCGTCATCGGCTACGTCGTGGGCTACACGCTCTGCCTCTTCATCTTCTACTCGCTCGCGCCCTTCATGTTCCGCATGGCCTCCGCCGCCTTCTTCGACATCAGCCTGCTGACGGGCAACTTCTGGGGCGTCATCATCGGCATCCACGTCTTCGGCTACGCCGTCCACTACCTGTACCCTGTCGCCTTCGTGCTCATCCTCATCGGCCTGATCGTCTACTTCCTGGCCGGGAGCATGCTCGGCGACTCCAAGAAGCCGTGGCTGGGCGACAACCAGGAGGGCGGCGTCGCCGGTCTCGGCACTGCTAAGCTCAAGGCCCTCAACGAGGCCAGGAGGCAGGGTCTCATCGCTGAGGAGCGGGTATAGATGCTCCAGAGGTGTTCGTTTGGGAGGGTTCGCCGTGGAGGAGAGCTTGGGGGATATTGTGACTGAGACACATTGGTAATATATACGACGAAGAGCACTTTTTGAATATAATAATGAACATATGCTTCCTCGGGAGGCTGTCATCTTCCGAGACATGCTCCAAAGAATACCCATACTTAACTTCTGCCGTGTCTCCGAGTCTCAAATCTCAGTCTCCACCATGCTGTGAGTTTTGTGGACGCAGCAAAGCTTCTCAGGCGGTCGAGTCTATCAAGCGTCAGCCCACAGGGTCATGTGGTGTGTCTGGGAGACCTGGATATATCGATCGTGACTTTCCCTAGGGGCGAGATTACGTTGAGAGAAACTAATTTATGAATTTTAAGACTGCCTGCTCGCTATTGGTCTTGTGTGAACCACACCAGGTGAACAGTGAGAGGGAGCAGACAGACGGAGTCAGGTGTATATTGCTATGTTGAGAACGTATTGTGTCCCTCCTTAGCGGTGGCGGTACATCTCAGCAGCACGCATACGACATATCTGGGGAAGAATCATTCTCCCCATTGAGGTTACCATCACGGCTAAATGTGGAGTTGGTAGACTACCAACCTCATACTTCGTCGACTTGTTACGACGCACCTGTTCCAGACTGTTTTTAAGACAGGACCCTATGAGGATCCAGACCTCATGTCGTGCTCTTGTCGCCGTTGGCAAGCCTTCGGCAGCATCAGGTAGATAATAGTCAAACCTTGCTGCGCCCACCATACGCACAGGGGCCCCATGGGACGCATCATAGTGACCGGCTATATTGGACATTGTCCCCGGCCGGGAGAGATAATCACATCTACAAGGAGAGGACCTCCGGTGCCTTGAAACCTCCGCTCCCATCGAAGCGCCGAGATCCTACTTGCAACCTCCCTTGTTCACGGGCAGAGAGGGTCTCACTCTCCATACGCGTATTAAGAGGTATGTATGCTCATTGGCTATTGAAATGAGATGGTGGTTCGAGTTCGGTTCGGTGAAGACAACAATCTAGTGAAATGCATCCAAAGATAGCAACGAAAGACTGGATGACCGCACGCGATTTGAGATGGTCGAGACGTGCGACGAAAACGTCTCTCTCCCAGATCCAGTGTCCAAAAATAAACCGAGCAGATTCATTTATCGCCCACTTTCTTGCCTGCATTCGGAGAGTGCCTGTAGCCCCCGTGCCGTCTAACGCCGGTGAAAACAAAATGCCGTGGAACGCTTGATATCAAGTTCGAATTGTAGAGGCAGAAGGGTACTACACCCCACCCCCCGGACTCTTCCAGAGCCGCCAAGACACGACTGGTGTCAAGGTACTTCTACATATAATGCAGGTCGCTGTCATGATCTTTCACGACATTAGGGTCATTCGAAGAGATAATCTAGCACTTCGAGAAAGTTTCCCCGACACGAGTACGGTCTCACATGATAGCGGCCTTCAAGAGTAGTTGCACAAATCGCCGGGATACAGATCCTACACGTCGCCAAGACCAGAAAGACCCCGGCAGCGACGGCCACAGGCTTGGGCAGCTAAGCAGCGAACACTTTAAGCTTCGTCACCATGTTCTCATCTTCGTTTCGCCAGGTGGCTTTCGAGATAGCTTCGGGGAGGGCGATGAGGGACCCCACCACCTCCTCAACTGCGGGATGGTGGGCTTCTCCAACAACAACAGACCACCTCTTGATCCAGACACCGAGACTCTGGAGCTCATGTACCTAGAGGGGCTCTTTGTCAAAGCATAAGCTGGTGCAGTGTGGGGGTCCAAAGCTGTCTCCCCGCGCGGGGGGCCGGATCGAGAATTTACGAGGCAAATTGATATATGGTTGATGTGCAGTAGTGCCACAAAGGGCAGACAAGCTGCAAGACAGGGATGGGGGACGTGCAATAATGCAAGACGTCTTGCATCTGCAGAAGCCATGGAAAACATCAGGCGACTTATCCTCGGGGTGAAGCGGAAACGTCTCGCCGGCCCCACCCCAGAGCTACTTGATACTCGTGATGGTGAGGCTCTTGCGAACGGCTCTGCTGGGGCAAATTTCCCAGTAGGTCCTCGAAACAATCGAAAGAGTTCCTCCACTGGCGTGAAACACGCAGGCTTGTCTGCGGGATACCATCAGACGAGCTGCAACCCAATGCTGGCGGACGATGGTAAGGGTTCTTTCGCTGGGTTTGCAAGACGCACCTACCGGAGGAATGGAAGGCCTGGACGTTTCGTAGTCAATGTCGAAGACGGTCCAGGTTGAGCCTTGTTGTTCTGAAGGAAAGCTTCTAGAAGGACTAGGATCTAGCACTTGCTTCTCCGCAGGCCACCTTCACAACTCAGGCTGTCGGCATTTTCTTGGTCCTGTGACAGGATTGCGCACCAAAATCGACGTTTTGTTGGCAGTCGCAATTAGAATGTCATCTACACCAAGAAGACGAAACTCCTAATCTTGGAGTTCTCACGAGTCCTCCAGCTCGACATCGGTTCAAATTTGTTGACGGAAGGGAACAGCGCAGGGGAAAGAACTGGGCCGGGAGTTTAAAAGCCTGATAATGAGTGGGGCCGGGGCCGATGCATATACCGGTAGGCTTCTCCGAGCGTCGAGTGACGGCCGATGTTGAAGTCTAGTTGGGTGGACGACGATCCAGACGGCAGACGCGAAAGCCTGTCTGAGGTGTCTATGAAAGAA